TAAAATTACATCTCAATTCAAATTAAAAATTCAAATAAACAAACTAAACTGACCTTAAATTTCTCACCATTGAGTTTCTTGCTTATTCATTCTTCCGACTAATATAATACATGTTACATTTTAGGGTGTATCGATAAAAAAAAAAAAAAACGGCCATAATTATTCCTCATCATTATGTCGCCACAAAAATATTGCATTTTAACCTGCAATAATTTCAAACTAATTAGCCCAGCAACATTGTCAACAATATATCAAAATGTTGACATTATAAATCAGCTGGGCCTAACATCTAAATTTGTCTATTTTTGGCTTAATCCCCAGTACATGTTGACTGAGGTAAGTCCTTCCTTAATTCATTCGGAAAAATTAGAACTTCATTTGATAAATAGAAACTTCAATATGAAATCCACCACCGAACCCAACGGGTATATAAAACTTTCCGCCATATAATCCAAATTAAAAATATGCACTAACGCCAACAAAAATTAGAACAGAAAACATGCGCAAAAAATTATTCAACTCAATAGTGCTCTATTAATATAAATTTAAGATCTATTTAGTTCGCTGATTGGAGTTTTTAATTCAAGTTAATATGTGATTTTATGTGAGCTTTTTATTATAACAAAACTTAAATTTTAAACTCAAATCAGTAAAATGAACGGATTCTTTCTACACTAATCAATATACCATCCAACGAAAAACTTTAAATTCTTCTCGCATTATGCGTTCCTGCGCAACCGCAAATAAATGTTGATACGGATTTTGCGCAAATAAGTTGCTCCAAAAAACGATTAAATAAAAAAAATCAAATTGCCCAAAAGTGATTAAATCATCCAAATTCGTGGTTCAATAATTTACAGTCTCGCCTCGACTCTTCTTTGAGTTTGTTTGGTTCAACAACTCAAACTATGAAGATTTGAACCCTTTTAGTTAGAATTATAGAATCTGAATTGTGGTGATGTTAATTGTGATTCGAACTGGTGTTTGGATATGCAAATAAATTGTAATTTGAATTGAAAATAAAATCCGAACTGTGTTTGGATAAAGTGTTGAAAAGTGTTATTAGAGTTTTGTAACAAATCTTATAAAACCTCATTGTAAATGACATTAAAAAATATATAATATGAGTGAGGATGTGTTCATCTCTTCATTATGAACACATTTAAAAAAATCATTTTAATCAGAATTAAAACAAAAAAAGTTATAACATTTTAAAGATTGAAATTAAAAAGAGAGAAAAAATAGAATCTGAAACTGTTGAACTGTTGACAATAATTCAAATTGTTAGAATTTAGGGGGTGGTGAATTCTAAAAATCAAGAGTTTGAACCATTGTTAATGATTTGAATTGTCCTTCAATTTTTCTCTCCTAAATACTAATTTAAATCATGAACAAAGATTTAAATCCTACCAATAATTTGACTTGTTGAAACAAACAAGTCATTCGTGCAAACAGAATCTTCAATAGCTGAAGGTATTACTTTTCGCTCCCAAAATTAGCTTCTTCTTGTAGCAAAAACTGATTTTAGTGTTTGATAAATCCCCTCAAAAGTGTTTTTTGAAGAATCTACAACCAAAATCAGAAGCAATTCAAAGCCACCTTTGACTTTTAGATTGTGCGGGAATCAACATAGTACAATTAATGACACTTTTATAATACCCATAATACTCCTAATAAAATTTAAAATTTACAATCTTCTCAATCTAAAATTCAGACTAATAATATAATATAATATAATAACGCAATAATATAATATAATGTAATAGTAATATGGTAACAAATAATATCATAATTATATTAATAACTGTAATATTATTATTTTATCATATAATATGATATTTTAATAATATTATAATTATTTTAATAATATGATATTATAATTATAATTATTATATATTATATTGTATTAATATAATTTTATATATTATAATATAATATAATTGTAATTTTTAATTGTATGATTGAAATATTATTATTTTTATGTAATATTATAATATGTTTTATGATATTGTAATTATATTAACCATTTTAATAATATTATTATATTATATATCATTATTATATAACATGTTATTTAATAATAGTTTTATTGTATTATATTAACTATAATAATAAATATATAGGCCAAGTTTCTAGACCAGTACTGGACTGGAGCAGTACTTGTATATATTTTCTCTTTAAAATGTGTATATTTCTCTTAAAGCATGTATATATTGTATATTTTACCATAAAAGGAAATACACATATTTTAAGTGAAAATATACTCGTTTTAAAAAAAAATATACATATTTTAAAATATATATATATACAAGTGTCGCTCCAGTCTGGTACCGGACTGGAGACAATTCCTTAATATATATTATATTGTAATAATATATATCATATTATAATATAATATAATATAATCGTAATTTTTAGATATATACAACAATTAAACTTCATAATTTACCAAACGCTATTATACTGATTTTAAAACCAGCACAGCTACTATAATTATAGTTTACTAAACACTTAATTATTTTTTTATAACAACTATTTTTTCTTTCAGCACAATTAAAAATAATTTTTTCAAAATTTACAACAATACTAAACTAAGCCGAAATCTCCTGCGATTCTTCTTCCTCTCCCATGACTTATGCTTTACTTTTCGTCTCCCTAGGCTGTGATTATTTTTTAAAATAAAATTATTTAGAACTCAAACGGTGGCGTTCACAAAAAATAGAATTACTTTTTGATACCCTTAGCTACTTTTACCGTCTGATCAAATTTAATTGATATAATTTGCCACGTCATCTACAGCGACGACTGAGAATCATTCGTGGAGTTACAACTTTTGCTAGACTAGGAGTGGTAATTCGTGTTACTTATTATGTTCGTATCGTATTTTAATCATTTTTTTAAAATTTACAGTTAACCTGAATACAACCCGTTACACGAGATTTGTTAAAAATCATAACACGAACATGACACGATCACTTTATGAGTTGATATTAGTGCTGAAACTTTGGACGGGCCGCCCGCGACCACCCGAAAATACAGAGTTTTTGCCCAAGCCTGAGGCCGAACCCAACCCGTCCGAAAAATTTGGGCCGCCCGCCCGAGCCTGAAAATGCCCTTGAACGGGCCGCGGGCTTATATGTGGCTGCCCGACCTCGGCCGGGCCGCCTGAGCCCGCCCGAATAGCACGAATATTTTTTTAATATTTTTTAATTTTTATAATTATTAAGTTAGTTTGTGTTAAAATTATATAAAAATCAAAATCAACATTCAATAGACATTATTAACACAATTGAATAAATTAATCATGTATATTAATGATGTATATTAAATTCGTAATTCATGATTGTCTCGTTAAAAACCTTACCAAGAAAAACCCAATTGGGATAAAAACTTGGCAAGGAAAAAAGAGTGCAATCATTTTGTGACGAATTATAAATTTTATAAACTTACAAAGTTATACAATTACAAATACAATGTCAAAAGTAAATACATATTTACAAATTACAAATTTACAATTTAATTTGAAGCTAAAGGATCGTCTTCAAAATTAAATGTTAATCGATTAAATTCATCTATCAATTCTTGGCTTGCCGGTGAAATTCCTCCTAGAGGTTGCAACACTTGTAGACGTAGTCGCATTGGTATTCGCCGCTTCTCCACGCCCACCACCATTTCGACCACGACCTCCAGTACGTCCACCAGGGCTCGGATTAGTAGATTCTTGCGTAACAAATTCATTAGTGGGAAATTGTCCTTCTTTCACGTTGTGTTGGGCATCAACAGGAATACCACTATAACCAAAAGGATCTATTATAAAAAATTAAGAGCGATTTGAGAGAGAGAGCTTTAGGATAATGTAATAGTTTTAAAAAAAAATTGTAATAGAGATTTAAAAGATTGAGAGAGATTGAGAGAGATTGAGAGAAATTGAGAGGGATTGAGATAGTTTGAGTAAGAAAAATGTGTGGGGGATGGAGGGTATTTATAGAGAAATTTTTGGGTTAAAAAATTGATTTTTTTTTTCAAAAAATTCAGGGTGCAACGACTAGTTTAGGGTTCGGCGGGTTCGGGTTCGGGCGAGTTTGGGCGGCAACAGTCAAAAAACTAGCCTTTGGACGGGTTTTTGGGTTTTCGGGCTTCTCGAGTATTCGGGCAAAATTCATGTTTTCAGGCTTATTTTCAGGTCGGGCACCAACAGTCAGAATTTTGACATTTTTCGGGCAATTCGGGCTTCGGGCAGATCGGACATTCAGGCTTCGACGAAAAAATTCAAAAAAACTCCGGCATACGGCGGTTGACGGCGCTACACGGCGGCGGGCTCCGGCGTGGTGACCAAATTCGGCCTGCCCGAGCCCAAGCCCGAAAATGCAACTTTGGACGGGCCGACATATGGGCCTGCCCGCCGAGCCTGAAAAATTCGGGCAGCGGACCTGCCCGCCGGCCCAAAGTTCCACCACTAGTTGATATAACACAATACGAAATTGACTCGTAAACCTGACATTGACACGGAAATTATATACTTTTCTTTAATTTTTTACACATTAGAAATACCTTAAAATTCATAACACGTTAAAATATAATAACATCCATCAAAATTAAGTAAATGATATCACAAGTTCATAATAAAATTTTAAATATATAATGAAAAAATATATATTTTTTAGTTTTTTATGAATTACGTGTCGTATTCAGGTTAGGCGGGTCCAACCCGAAATTGACCCGTGTTTTTCGTATTAATTTCAGATCGATTCAATTCTGACCCGAACTTTTTTTTTCAACTGTAACCTGCAAAATTTCTGTTATTTTTAAATCGTGTTATCGTGTCGTAACTCATATTACGAATCATTCTCGACTATAGCAGTTCGCTTTATTTTTTTATATTTCGGGCGAGAAAGAAATCTATCAAAACCTTGAGGTCGAGATTTGCAATTATTTTAAAGTAAAAAACCTACAAGGAAGAG